TCTTATACACATCTAGATGTGTATAAGAGACAGCTCATGGACCAATCAATCAATCAACCAACTCATCGACCAATTGATTGACCAATTAAAAAAAAAAAAAAAAATTATAAAAAAAATGAGAAAGGAGCAAAAAAAAAAAAAAAAAAAACAAACTAACTTAGGGGAATGTTAAAAACCGCAAAGAAAAAAAAAAAAAAAAAAATGAAAAATTAAAAAAAAAAAAAAAAAAAAAAAAAAAACAGAGTGAGAATTGCTATACCTGTGGAATGCATCCATCACAGACCATTTTTCATAGCTTTGGCCCACCAGCAACAAACTTCATGCCTCTTTGAAAACCGGACAGGACGAGAACTCAAGTCACAGCAGCTTCGTCAAAAACAAAAAACAAAAAAAATAAAAAAAAAATCACAGCGGCATTCACCACGATGACTAAGTCGGGACATCTTCTCTTCACTTCGCAAACAGCTTTTCTTTTTTTTTTTTTTTCGTTTTTTGTAAGAAGTTTTCTCTCTCCCCCTGGCACCACATATAGCCACAACACTGCATCACCACTTCCACCTGCTCCATTTTGTCTCCTCAGGTACAACACCCATCATCAACCTTCCTACAATTTTACAGTTTGCTAAGTCCCACCAGACCTACGTCTATCTCTATTGTCAGCTCAACCACCCTATGAAATGACGACGCCCCTTTGCTAAATGACGACGCCCCTTTGCTAAATGATGACGCCCCTTTCCTAAATGCACAGACAACCGCAAAAATGTATATCCCCAACATCCACAACGCACTTTTACGGCGTTTACGCACCTTTTTTTTAATGCTCGGCTTGTGACCGGTTCAACTTGGCCCCACGTCATGTGCTCTCATTCCTCCTCCTCCTCCTCCTCCTCCTCCTCCCCCCCCTCTCCAGTCTTAACTTTTAACTTTTAAGTCATTCGCTGCCAATCCATTCCCAATTTACCCTCAAACTCCTCTTCGCATGGAAATTTATCCTCTCGCCATACACTAAGCAGCAACATCATGTGCTCTCATTCCTCCCCCTCCTCCTCCTCCTCCTCCTCTACTGTATAAAGTCATATGCTGCCAATCCATTCCCAAATTACCTTCGGACTCTTCGGACTCCTCTTCATGTGGAAACACATCCTCTCGCCATACGCTATGCAGCAGCAACAGAAACCTGCGTAGAACAAATGGCTCCATCCCAAGCCCTCTGCTCTCCCATTTCCAAGCTCCACCTACACACACACACACACACACACACACACACACACACACGCGCGCGCGCGAACACCTTGCACATGCCAGCATGCCTTCCATCCACTCTTCTCCCACATTGCATCATGCCATATCATCCCTCGTTGAAACTCGACACCATCCTTCCCCTCGTCTTAGATTGCCCCTGTTGTCTGGTCGATGCTTCACTGAAGTCTCCCCGAACCATCAGAAACCGCTCGCGAAATGAGAGAGCGCTGCAATCCCGCTCTCTCATACCTTCTGTGATACGTTGATAACCATCACTACAGTTGCCCCGGACCATCACTGAAGTTGCAGTGAACCATCACAAACCGTAGAACTGAGATGTCTTTTCTAGTGTCCTCACACTAGACCTGCGTGTGAGAGGCTCACCTCTCAAGGCAACATGTCATAAGGCATCAGGCATCGGTTTCTGTCTTCAGACAAGCGCGCTCCGACCAAATGCCCATCATTCAGGAGAGGACAGGAGCAAGAAGCATAAAGAGAGTCGATTGAGGGCCTGACAGCTCACTGTACTACCACTTCCACCCTCAATTACCCCAAACGGTTGAAAGCAGTAGAACTCTCTCAAAACAGCTGAAAACTGACGATGACACCATGCATCACGATTTCTGACCCTTGACCTGAGTCAGCCTCCAAATCACCGACGACTGAAGATCACAGCACAGGCCTTGTTCCTTAAACCTAAAGACTAACAAAGGTACAACATACCTCTGTCCCCTCTGGACTTGAAATACCTTTGAGACATCAAATAGCTTTCGTGGTCTCAGGAAGGTAACTGAAGTTAAGACGCGTATTTGTAGTCCTCTCTCTTTTACATCATCAGTCGAGCGGGGGAGTCACCACTACCGAACATTCATGAGCAGAAGACAGAGAACTGAGAGAAGTTATGTCTCTCTCTCTCTCTCTCTCACATGCATGACCAAGACAGAGAAGGTACCTCTCTCTCTCTCTCTCCCTCTCTCTCATGTGTGAGCAAGACAGAGAAGGTACCTCTCTCTCTCTCTCTCATGTGTGAGCAAGACAGAAGTCTATCTCTCTCTCTCTCTCTCTTGCTTGTGTGAGCAAGACAGAGAAGGTACATCTCTCTCTCTCTCTCTCTCTCTCTCTCTCCCTCTCTCCCCCAACTTCTACTACTACGACAAATGTGTAACCCAGCAAGCCCAATGTCTCGTTCCTTTTCTTCAGTCTATGTACAAGCACGTACGAACGTTCGGATCTCTTTGAAAGCGACAACCAACCTACTCCACATTCATTAGTTGCATTCTTTGACCGGGAAGAGCCAGAGCAAACTCCCTCTCTAAGTCTCATCTTGACGACGCAAAAAGAATTAGCCCCAAAAGGACGCAATCAGCATAATTCACTAACAAATGTCCATTTCAACAACAGGTTTTGTACGACAAAAGAAAAGTCAAGAAGTCGAGAAAAAAAGTAGGAACAGTGTTGCTCTCCGCCTTACCCAGCAAGAGCCATACTCTCCACTCCCCTTCCTGCAGCGCCTTGAAGATACCCCATTTGTGGCTGGCTGTATGTGTGTGTGTGCCTGTGTTTGCTTGATGACGGGTCGCATTCTCAACTTCTCAATCTCCCCGCAGAGCCTGGAAGATAGACCACTTGTGGCTGGCTGGCTGTGTGTGTGCCTGTGTTTGCTTGATGATGGGTGGCATTCGCAACATCTCAAACCATCGCTCTTCCCTTCTCCCTCCCATCTCCCAACAAGGAGAAAGCCAGCATCCTCATATTTTCTTTTCTACATCCTGGGTACATCACCATACCCCTTATCATTGCAGCTAATAACAACACACCGGCTGATGCTATGGCCCAAGATCTCGGTCCCAAGGTCTTGGGACGAGATCTCGTATCACGATACCGTCCCGACAAATTGAAGCTCGGCGTCCCAACAATCGTATACCTTGCAACCCATTGCATAGGAAGGAGGAGAAGAACACATTTCGGCAGAAAGAAGGGACAGCCGCCTTCGAGCCAGCATCACTCGCCTTCGAGCCAGCATCGCTCGCCTTCAAGCCAGCTTCGCTAACACACTATATTTCGGAGCTGTTTGCAAGCCTCCTCCTGGCAGGCCGGAATTTTCCGCAGAATCGGATCCAAAAATGAAGGGGCACATATAGATCGAACAATCTTAAGTTCTTAACCCCTCCCTAACCCCAGGTAAACACATGGTTACAGTATTACCCTAAATGGTGAGGGAGGGTAAGACGGATACAAGTAAAAACGAACAACTTCAAGGGCACCTCGACCGCTACCTCCTCCGTGGTCCATACGCTTCGTCACAGGTCACAGCAACAAGCTCGCCCTATGCATTTATCGTGACCACAGCCTGTGACCAGGCATTAGAACTACAGGTTAAAACCTAAAACATATGCTACACAAGGTGAGGTGTCCCCCCAGGAACATGGCGGCCATCCTATCACCAACTTGGGAGGAGAGGATGCCACCATGCCGCCTGCTCCACTTACCTCCATCTTTCCTCTTCATCACTTCTGCAGTCGTCGCCTCGACAAGTCAGAAAAAAGCGCTGCTTCGCACAACACACCGACAACACCTCTATTTCTTCTCCCGAGAGGTCGCAACCGTTCCAACCTGAGACGTCTGCATGCATACTGCCTAGTACTCAATCCCGTGTCCCGCACGACGTACGTGAACGGAAAAGCGCTCTCCCTTGTGCGTATCGCCAGTGCTGCTGCCCCTATAGAGTTGTACAAGTCACTCCTAAACCTTGCCGCCGCATCCCATCGCGCAATGCTCAGATTGACTGACCACCCAGCAGTTTTTTCATCATCCCGACTTCGCAATCGTGGTACACGACTGATCGTGTTCACGCTTACCCGCCGTCCTCAGATACACAAACACCGAAGAAGAAACAACCGACCGCTCGACACACTCGTGAAAATATAACGTTACCCACTTGGGTGTCTCCCCCTTTCTCCATGGCCTGAAAAGTCTGAACACACCCAAGAGGGTAGGAATCGAAAACCCAAAGGACAGTCAAACTCGAAAGGCAAGTTGACCAATGGAAGAGGAACACTGGCAAACGAGCCCGAGTTCTGACGTCATGACGTCATGCATCCTGGACAGCTTCAGAGCCATTCCAGAAGATAAATTGACAGGTGAGCAGATGTGCAGGACCAGATGAGCAAATGAATGAATAGACTGGGTACCCGAGAAGAGGTAAAAGCAGCAGACATAGTGCTCACCTACACACATACCCACCTTGTGGCTCTGACGTCTTCTTGGCGACTGCCTCGTCACAGTCAACAGCACACTGGGATCATCAATGTCCCTTCATGTCCTTTCTGCCTGTTGGGGACTACAGTGTGAACAGCCCTGAAAGAGGCTCCCATGTAAGGAGAAAGAAGGGCTGATCCTGTCGCAGCTGGGATGGCAGACCACCATCGGTGCCAGTCTCTTCTGAGAGTCATCTTCCGCATTGCTTTCCATTGCTCCTCTTCAATCGCTGCTGGAACCTTGGGTTTGATTAACCACAGGTCCATTAGCGGGCAACGGAACTGTCGTGGACTGGGGAGACCCACCTGCAATACGAGTGCTCCTAGCAGCACGACGTGCAGAACCAGGAGAAACTCTTGGCAGAGGTAAGCGACCAGTTGCAGCCGCCGCGAACGCGATACAACTGGTTGTACGCGGGAGAGGCAGGTGCGGTGGGACTGGGACTCCAACGGCAGGGAGTCTGATTCATCATCGGGCCCACCATACAAACACAAGCGCAGCCGCACCGGACAGCAGCAACCACCCACGCACACGTCACAGTCATGCACATTCACAGACAGTCGCCAACCATCAAAACGAGCCACCGCCATAGCAGATGTTGTTGGAGACCACCGTATATACAAACGCAGCTCAACCCAACAGCACCACTCAGCCGCGCCCTCGACAAAACCATGTGCATTCACAAGCCAAGGAGTTACCCCGGATCGAAAAGAACGTTAGACACAAGCAATAAGGAAATACAAACCCAAGCCTCAATAGCCACAAAAACAAAACTTCCCATAAGGACAGCAGCTCAAGTAGCAGAAATACAAGTGCACAAGATGAAGGCACAATGTAGACGCCAGCAATCGAAGCACGCAGAAGCAAAGCACACACAAGCAAAGCACACACAAGCAAAGCACACACAAGCGAAGCACACACAAGCAAAGCACACACAAGCGTAGCACACACAAGCAAAGCACCAGAAAATTGGTATCAGTAAAATTCGATACTAAAAGCAAATAACACACACGTAAATAAATACCGTACACTGGAGGAATAGGACTAGCAAATCATTGCAAGAAAGTATCACTCGCCTCACACCCTAGAGAAGGCAGCCCAAGGTAGACATCAGACATCATGAGAGCTATTCAGAATGATTGAGAGGGAGTAGTACAGAGATGGCAATAAAACAGATGAAAAAAGAATGAAGAGAATCTGAAATAAACAAGAGGATGTTTAGTATTGTTTACTGTTTTGTCGATGTCCACCAGTCAAACTGTCTTGAAAATTGCCAGACACACTTCGTGGACGGCATCATCCCAATCCTCTCTCTCGCTCTCTCTCTCTCTGAATCGGGCCATTTCAGGAAGGGGGGAGGGGGGGGGAAGACAGCGAAAACTCCACCAGTGGTCCCTCGAGTAAATGGCCTGTCAAGTTTCAACCCCCTTACAAGGCTTAGGGCCTCACCACACCACTCGCCAAATGCAACAAAGGAAAAAAATGGTTAAAAAAGGGAAAACTAGGGTGCTGTGACACTGCTGTCACATTGTTTTGCAAATGTTGTGCGAAACCGAGGAAAATCGTGAATGTATACAACCCAGCTTTAGAGTCGGTCCGGTGGGGACGTGTCGCATTCAAGGGATGCCTGAAGTGGATTTAAAACTGAAATCGTGGCTGCGAGCTAGTTATCCCAAAACACAAAACTTTAAGAGACTACGGCAGGCGAACCTTTCCGCGTTCTAGAAGGATATGCGTTCTCCATTTTGCACAATTGGCAAGTAGTGCAGCACTGAGCCCTTCCCTCGTATTCAGGGTGGGCAGCTGAGCCCTGTCCCGGTGTTCCGAGTGCGACCACACCTATTGTATCCAGCCGAACAACCACTTCACTATTTCCTTTTCCCTCTTTTAACACGAATCCGAATCCAACGGGTGCCTTACGCTATTGTCTCTGGGATCCTGGCACCTTCCATTGGCTTGCTACAGCTCCTCCCAGATCCCCTTCACTGTCAGATAGGCACAGTAGGCGGCTTACACCACCAGTCCCATCGGAACCCAATCGAAGCCCGACAAGTAGGACAATCGCATTGAAGCCCGATCGAAATGGGGATCAGTCGAGTCTCTCAGCCTCCGCCTGCTATTCTGGCGCTGCATGGGAGGAAGCATCTGGTCAAGTTTCTAATTAAACCACCAGTGAAGAGACTGAACCCGTTTTCCAGCAGGTGCAGCTCCCCACCAATAGAAAGAAGCCGTCCAACGGAGAATACCACAGAGGGATGCTCATATCACCCTGCGAGGTAAGCCCCGAGAATGACTTTGTGAGAAAGAAAAAAATGATTCGAAAAAAAAAGTACGTTCTAAAGCCGTGCCCGTATACAAGCCACGATTTTAGGATACGTACAGGCCACTACAGGAGCATCCAAATTCATCCGGCTAAGATTCTACTCTATTTTCTTTCTGCAGCCAATAGCTGGGCCAAGTACAGGTGGTTTAAATTCTTAAGCCTACGACACCTCAGCAAACAGAGGGGACTGTGTTCCCCACGCTCCATCTTCACCCAAAAGGCCGTCTACGTTTCCGATAACTTTTCCGTGGCTACAACACCGATAACTTTTCCGTGGCTATAACACCTCAGCCACCAGAGGGGACTGTGTGCCCCGTGCTACCATCTTCACGCAAGTCTACAGCCCTCTGTGCTGCACAGGAGGAACCATCGGGTCTTAAGTTTCAGTTGAAGCACGAATACTTATTCCAGCAACACCGACCTCTGACATTGGGCTCATCAGGAATGAATGCGTCCTTCTGCAGCAGGCCCGTACATGCCAGCACATTGACGAAGCTATACATTCTTCCTCTCAATTTAACCTCTCACTACCATCCTTCCACTACTCCTAAACCTAATCAGGTGCTTCTTTAATCAGGTGCGAAGCCCCCAAAAGTCGGCACTCTTACACCTCACATAACCACCACGCACACACACACACACACACACACACACACACACACACACACACACGCACACACACATGATACCCAGAGACCCTACCAGTACCGACCAAGGGGTGCAAGCCAACTACCACAGTAGGTTGGCACCAAGTGGGGACTGAACCCACGACCTCCTGAATGCCACTTGCGTGCCTAATGAACTGAGCCTAATGAACTGAGCTAGGCCCGGCTTGCTCCCCGGAGCGTTAACCAGCAGCACCCCTGCGAAGAAATGGTGGTTTCATTTTTTCGTGTGTACAACACCTCAGCCATCAGTGGGGACTGTTCCCCATGCTACCACGTCCACCCAAATAGTACCCACAATTGTGATAGCTGTATTTGGGACGGACTTTCAGCCTCAACACAGCTGCGATGATATCCTGCATTTAGTTCGGGTGGCGACAATAGCCTCTTTTTCCTGCCTCCTCCTGGGAGGGGATCTTTTATTCGCAATGGCTCCAGAAGGCTTGCCAATGGTCAGAGACAGGAAGCCTGGCAAGGTGCCCTGGCCCAGGAAACAATTCAAAGATGAAAAAAAGGGTCCGATATATTTGAAATTCCTGGCGTCCGCCAGTGGATTAGCATTGCGATCTTCGGAAGGGCTGCTCGGCAGGCAAAATTTGAAGATCGTGGGGCCCGCATGGCCAGGCAAAACAAAAGTCGGGCACACCCACTGGGCGTTTAAATCACCAGAACGTTTCCCGGCCATTTTTCTCCCATGCGGTTTGCATGCAGGCCCCTACCAGAGCAAAATGGCTGGAAGCTCCAGCCAAAAGAAGGCCCACGCCTCTCCGTGTCTTTCTGGCACACGACATTTCCACGCTCGCCAAGGGAGGGATCAGAAGTACTGGCCGTTTAAACCACTACCGTCTTCACCCCAATAGAATGCCCGGTCATTATCGCTGCATCTGGACTGAAAGTCGGACCAAATGCAGCTATAATGAGCGGACATTCTATTCAGTTTAAACCACTATAACATTTCCTGGCCATTTTTTTGAAGTCGCAGCTTGCACGCAGTCAGAATTTTCGGGGCTCAGCCTCCAGAGCAAAATGGCTGGCAGCACCAGCCAGGAGGAAGAAATACAACGG